CTTGTAGTTTTATAAGCTGATAATTAAACTGAAGCAAACATCTTTACTGTGAACTAAATTTACTGTGTATCTTCATTCCTTTTACCGTCTTTTTTCATTTGATTTTTCCTACTGGGAAGTTAGAATTTCCGAGGAGAAAGCGAACGCACCATTAGCTGATAACAATGGTGGCAATGGAAGCTAACATATCAAGCTAACGTTATCTTAAACAGTTTATTTAGCTGCTGGAGCAGATTAAAACGATGATGCCTCACACTTAGATCGTTGTCACTGGTTTCATCTTCACCCAGTCACCCGTCGCATTTAGTAAAGTGAAGCCAAACTTTAGAGCACGTCTAGTCCGGAATTCAAAGTTCCTAGGAGAAAGCGAACGCACCATTAGCGAAACGGAAGCTAACATATCAAGCTAACATTATCTTAAACATTATATTTACCTACCGGAGCAGATTAAGATGAGAATGCCTCACTTAGATCGTTGTCGCTGGTTTCATCATCACCCAGTTACCCATCACATTTAGTGAAGTGGACCCAAGCTTTAGCGTGCGTTCTTTCTACCATGCTGCTCTGTTTACAACTGGCTCGTAGCGAGCGATGACAAAACGCTCTTGCGCATGCGCAGCTGTCTTGGCAAGTTCTCGTTATGATGGACGGGTACCGAAACGAGGCACCGTTTGAAATGACGTGAATCGGTGCTCGGTCGGTACTTTGGAATTCGGGCGGTACCTTAAAAAGTACCGAATTCGGTACCCATCCCTAGTCCTTCATGGTGTATTCGCCTTCATACCTCTTCCATGAAAGTCCATCTAATATTCTGGGGTTATTCTCTGTCCCTAACCCTTCATACCAGCCATTCAGTTGTTCAACTTAAGCCCCTCCCCTAAAGCTAAAAGCCAAACTCTGAGGACTACAACCCAGAAAATACCTCCCAAACTCAATAACGAATAAAAATGATTGAATGAAAGCAATATACCAAAGCTGGTGTTGGTGGAGTGAAGTCAAGAAAAGAGGTCTAGCCAGCCATTCAATTCTACGGGAGTAGTTTCAGAAGTTTTAGGAAACGACCTGTTCTGTGTTTAGTGTGACACCTGTGTGAAGGGCGCCTGGAGAAACCAACCGGTGTTTGTCTTCCGAAACAACATAAGAACCATTTGTTGTCTGTGTGTGTGGGGTTCTGTATTTTTTATGAAGGCAAAACTCTTTTGGCTCAAAGCGCAATCAGTTCCACCAAACCTCCCACCTGCCACGGTGCGCAGATGAGTTGAGCAGAGGTGAGGATCCATGTGCAGGGGAAGAAGGCAGGCAGGAACGTTTAAGGGTTTTTAATGATAAGCACGCGGGACATGGAAACAATGGACAGACAAGGAACACGGAACTGGGAGGGTTTAAATACATGAGGAGCTGGGATTTACAGTGATTGGGAGACGAGAGGCAGGTGGGAGCAAATCAGGAGAGACACAGGACCCAACAGAGTGGGGAGACAGGACGGGTTGTGTCACCACCATGCTGCGACTCACAAGGTCTCAGCGTGGACCCAACGGTGCGAGCAAAAAGCCCAATATCGTTCAGGGATGAACCCAGCATTAGAACCCTGCTGTGAAACTGGGCTCTGGGGACCATTTTGGAGATTCTGAGTGTTTCAGGAGGGAGGGGCGTGGCTTTAAGCCCCGGCTGAAGGGATGCTTGCTGGATGATATTAGAGGTCTGAGAGAAAAATGGCTGAACATGACTGCCTCAGCCCGGGCTCCAGCAAACCTCCAGAGTTTCAGTTTCATCTTACTTTCATCATACCCGTAACTTCTAAACTTTTATTTTGTGACATTCCAGAGAAACATACTTTAACAGTTAACCAGTAAATCGGGTAGATTGCATTTTATTGTGTTCCTTGTACCTGTTTCATTTAAATACAACGTACTTTCATTGACTTTTGAAAACCAAATATGCATTAGAAACATCCATATTTGACGTTGTAAATATCTGTTACTAGAGCACAGACCCTCAACAACGTGCTATAACAGACAGGAACACTTCTGTGTATTTGAAAAAGAGAATTAAAGTATTTAGACTTCATAAAAAGCAGGATTTGTGTCCCAAAATGTCCTATCTTTATATTTCTGAATATTATCTTTATCAAACATCACACAAAAACAGAGTCTGAGAACATGGTGACAACGCCCAGAGGAAGCTGATGTTCTCTGGAGTTTCAAACTCACATGGTGGAATGTCTAAGTGTCTAAATCTGGTTTCTGATTCCAGGGATATGTTACCTAAAAAGGTGCAATAATATTTAACTTTTAAGCAGCGTCGCTCAATAAATGAGAGTCGTTGAGGGTACATGCGCAACACACAAAGGCAAGGTATCTGTAGATGTGTCACGATCCACGAGCCGAGGTGAGTGCTCCTCCTCACTAAACCATCTTTGAGGTTCTCTTTCCACAGGTGAGGAGCGGAGGAGAGACCAGCTGTGCTGCATTTGTAATCAGAGGCTCTGGTATAAAAGGAGGATAGAGACACCACTCGACGCCAGATGATTGCTACCGTTTTGGTTAGCTCCAGCCTCTCGTATTTCGCTCTTGGATTACGACTTTGGATTTCCCTCTGAACTCCTGTCTGTTGGCCCTGTTTAGGATTACCATCAGCTCCTTCACCTACTTGTCACGCAGGCTTCCTCACAACCATCGACCTCCTCAAGGGAGGAACCGCAGAGCCACTCAGACCATCCGAACTTGTCATGATCTGCCCCAGCCTCCCTGACTGTGTCTCTCCTGCCCTGATTAGCCTTATTGTTCTCACATGTCCCTGATTACTCTGCCCACGTGTTCCTGATTCCCTTGTGTATTTATACCTCCCTCCTGGTTGTTGTCTTTGTCGGTTCATTGTCGTTGTCCATGTTCGTTCGTCCTGTTGCTCCCGTCCTACAATAAACATCTTTTTATTTTTTACATCCGTCTGCCTGCTCATCTGCCTCCGGAACCCACCACCACACATGGTCTGCCACCTCCACCCGCAGAACATGACAGAACTCCATTACCCAACATCCCCAGCGCCAGTCTACCGGTTCACGTCACCCGCCAAGTCTACTTAAGGAAGTGCCACACAACGCCGAATCACTCAGTCATCGTTCTCACCGAACCGAACTCAGAGTCCAGACCAGATCGTCTCAGATCACTCAGCCTGTGTTAACCAGATCAGCCAGATCTAAGAGACCTGACAGCTCTTAGACGTCAGCCCTGTGCTGTGGGAGCCGCCGTGCTCAGTTGTTTCATCACACCGCTGCGCACCCGTTTTCTAGATTAAACAGCGTGCTCACTCCACCCGGCGTCAGTTCACTCCGCGCTTGGGTTAAGAAGCCACGCCGCATCTCCAACTCTCGCTCAGCTCGAGTCAGCCATTACACTACTCTGCCGAGAACCCCGGATCTTCAGGACCACGTCCCATCCTCCTCCACGGCTCCTGCTCCTCTCCTCTCCGCTTCCTCACCATCCCCGCTCTGCTGGACCCCCGCCCTCACCTCAGCTCATCACCTGCCCCGCTGCTCGCTGAGCTCGAACTCTGGACTAACGCCTTACGGCACCCTACTCACTGGACTTCCCGTGCACATTTAGTTCCCGTACACCAAATAAAAGACTTTATTTTTACTTACCTCATGAGTCCCGTGTTGATTCTGCATGTCTTAGGTTAGACACCTCCCGCAAATCATGACAGATGTTCAGAAAACTTCAAAACCTACTTAAAAGTGAAACAGATGAGCTGACACGTTGGATTCCTGCTCATCACTCTTCTTGTGAAACGTTGCTGTTCAATATGAGCTATGCACCTTCCTGTCTAGGAGCTGAAGGAGGGAATAACACAGAAATAAAAGAAAATCTAATGAACCCAGGCTTTTCAGCAAGTAAAAAGATGTGTGTCAATGTTAACAACAAACTAAGCAGAGTCAAAAACTACTACAAGTTCTCCTGTGATCAACCAAGCCACAGCCACGAGGGCAACAGGAAGGATCCGTGCCCCTTGAATGTCTGAGAAGCTCAGCCTTTTGACTGGCTGAGCGGTCTACTGGCTGGTTCCCCCCAGCTGGCGCTGAGAAACGGCGTGCCTCTCTCCTTGGTGCTGAAAGTGGACAATGGAACAGAGCTGGAGAGGATTGTAGCAGCATTCAGGCGCTGTCCAAGGTGCTGGATCAAGAAAACATCCAGTAGCCGTGACAATATGAGAGCTGAATAAAATCAATGTAAGATTAATTGGAGACATGTTATGAATATTTTTCTTAGGTTATAATAGGTCAATGGCCAATACCAAACATACTCATAAAGTCATTTGCACGCCATCCCTCTCACGTGAAGCATCGCAGCATTTTTCTTCTTGACATTTTCAGTACCTTCCAGAATGAGGGTTAGCGGCCACGTCCACCCATTCCCCACTCAGGATGCTGTAAGCTGAGAAGCTCCGACGTCTGGGAGGGGACTGGCTTAGAGCCGCTGCTCCTCCACCCTGGATAGGCGATGGCGTTTCTGTGACGTCGCAAACGGGGACTTTTTCAAACAGCTGGTTTTAGACATGTAATCCCTAAAACCAGACACTGACAGAAAAGAGATGGACACATTGTCTTCATGTTTGTAGTTTTTATAGAAGCAGTGGAGATCTAGATGGCAGCACAAAATGATGCGAAAGGTTAATTTTGCATAATGTGTCCCCTTTAAGTTTTGTCAGGCTGCACTGAAGTCAGCCATTCAAGAAGGTCTCCTACCCCTCCCACATCTAGACTCAGTGATCAGAAACTAAACCAACAGCAGGGTCATCTGTGATCTTCACTATCTGACTGTCGGATTCCACACCTCCATGTAAACATCCCACTACATAAACCCCACCTCGGAGTGAAACACTGACTCTGAGTACCTCTTTATTCCTTCCACAATAAGGGGCGTAAATGGTTCATATTAAAAGAAAACACAGTGTGAAGGAACAGACGTAAAAGAAATATTCATTCATTTTACTCAGCCACTGTAGGAGCCATTATTGTTTTGGTTTAGATTAGATTATGATCTAAGTTTATTTTGATAATGTTTTATGTACATTTCAGTTTATTGCACTATGGTTTGTATTTCCTTTGACCACTGGTGGCACTGCAGAGCCTATAAAGGTGTTGAGGTGGCAGTGCATTGGCGTTTTGTGGGTGACGGGAGGTCACACGGTTTTTACCGCTTCATTTTGGTTTCATATGCCACGTCTAATTTGCCGTTATAACTTTCATCATTTACATAAACCTGGACAAGAAATAGCCATTCTGGACCCAGCTTGTGATTGTCAACATATTCAATAAATGGGACAATAAACCCAAACCCGCTTTCTGCCTGGACAATATTGTTGAAGCGAGTCATTGCCTCCACCCGCACCCGAGGGTGACTAAAAGTGGGACTTGATAGTCACTACAACAAGTAAAAACCTGGACCTGTCTAGAATTGGAGGAAGTCGCTTCATCTGGAGCTCATCAGGAAAAGTTTGGCAGGTGCCACACCCGCAGCGCTGTTTACCTGGAGGTTGGATTGAGACGTCAGCATACATCGATCCTTTGTTGGGACTCCAAAGCAATCTAAAAGGTTTGAGGCACAAGCAAAACATTCAAGACATCTCCGGTGAGTGCAGTCATCCTTTTGGGTTAAAGTCGCTGGAGTGGAGTTTTGATGCGCTGCGGCCGCTGCGGCCTGACAAGAGCTGATTGCCTGCATAAGAACTGCTAAGGATATTGATGGCTTCCACTCATTAAACTGTTCATTCATGTGCTGATGTCTGGAAAACACAAACGTGACTGTGTCAATACTCGTGCTTTGTGGCAGCAGTGCGTAAAATAGCGCGAGGAAGAGCGCCACAATCATCCGTGTTTGCTGAATGGTGTTTTATGAATGAAATGGATTTGGATAATGATGAAACCAATTTTAGAGACAATGAAAATGAAAAAAGACAAAGGAAGTTTTCTGTTAAAGGTTTGGCTTTTGAGATCGAAAAACTGCAAAAGGAGAGGTCTTATCTATTTAAACAAGCCAATAAAATAAAGGCAAAAATAAAAGACCTTTGTTCATCATCTGCCAATTTTATTGCCGTCAAACAACATCTTCAAGGGTTCAGTGCATTATGTAAAAATGCATCTTCACTTCATGACACTTTATTAAAGGAGTTTTCTTTACCCGAAGACGAACAACAGAGACAAAATGCATGGTTTAAAGATAAAAGTGCTGCAAATGAAGCGTTCGTGAATGAAGTGTGCAGTTGGTTAAAAGAAAACGAAGTTTTGAATGAAAATGAAAATGCTGATGATGAGCCCGACGCGAAGGTTGGGGTGAAAGAATATGATGAACATTTTGACTGTGTTAAACCTGAAGATAGTGCGTCAAATGTATCCAAACGGTCGCGCAAAAGCAGCCGTGCGTCTGGATCAAGCACTTCATCCGCTTGTAAATTGGTCATGGCAGAGAAAGCAGCATTGATTGAGAAAGCTGCTGCTCTGAAGAGGAGACACGAGCTGGAAGAGCAAGAGGAAAAACACAGACTGGAAGCGGAGAAATTAAGAAAGCAAAAGGAACAAATGGAGTTGGAAGCACAAATAGCTGCTGCATCAATAAAACTCTCTGTTTTGGAAGGAAGTGATGTGGGAAGGCGATCCTGCTCAAACGGCATGAACTCTTATGTGAGCAAAGGACTCAGAGAACAAAGGCAAGCCGAGTTTAATCCTCAAGCAAAGGAATGTGTGCCAAAAGGTGCCGTCTTTCAGCTGAGCTCAACAGCGCCCCTAGTGTCTGAACCAGATGCTCGACCTAAAACTGTCACACTCAAGTCAAGTGCACCGACTCAATTCAAGCAACAAAAGTTAAAGATGTCCATTCAAAGTGAATCATTACAACCACAATCTTCCCAAAACCAGCAGCAGAACCCTGTGCAAATATTTTCACCTGTGGACAACAATGCAATTTGTGCTATTATGCAAAAGCAAAATGAAATCACAGCAATGCTTGTTCAGCACCAATTATCAGCTACGTTGCCCCAGCGAGAAATTCCAGTTTTTGATGGTAATCCACTACAATGTATTTCATTTTTTAAAGCCTTTGAACATTGTGTGGAGGGAAAAACCAGCAGCTATCAAGACTGTTTGTACTTTCTCGAACAATACACCAGGGGACAGCCAAGAGAGCTTGTGAGGAGCTGCATGCATATGCCATCACAGCAAGGTTACCAAAAGGCAAAAGGTCTTCTAATGGAGCACTTTGGCAATGAACATAAAATAGCAACAGCATATATGGACAAAGTCATTTGTTGGCCAGCAATTAAAACTGAAGAAATTCAAGCTTTGCAAGACTTTGCTTTGTTTTTAAGAGGATGCTGTAATGCTATGTCTGACATACATTATATGGAAGAACTTAATCTACCATCCTACATGAGGCAAGTGATCCTGAAATGGCCCTACAAGCTACGTGAAAAATGGAGAACTGCAGCCTGTGAACTACAGGAACGGCGAGGTTTCAGGGCAACATTTACTGACATGGTCACCTTCCTTGAGCATCAAGTAAAAATATTGTCTCATCCTTTATTTGTAGACATTTCTGAAACAAGACCAAGTCTTGCAGCAAAGGAAGTACCAAGAAACAAAGGCTCAATAAAGACCAACATCAAAGGAAGCACCTTTGTTACAGCTATAGCACCCAGTGACTGCGCTATATCTTCCCCATCTGTGCTACCAAAGCCACAAGTGCAGCCAGTAGCTACCAGAAGTCCAGCTCCAGAAGCCTGTCCATATTGTGATCAATCTCATTCCTTAATGAAATGTCCAAAGCTAACCAGGATTCCTCAAAAGGATAAAATTGAATTTCTGAAAGGAAAGGGAATATGCTTTGGATGTTTTAAGGTTGGCCACATGAGTAAGGAATGTAAAAATCGCCTCACTTGTGATAAATGCAACCGGAAGCATCCTACCATCCTACATTCTGACAAAGAACAAGCTAAAGCCCAAGAAACACCTGTCAGCAGTGCCCTCGTGTCTCATAAGGCTGATGTTTGTACTGATGGAGGAGAGGACTGTACTCTTTCAATTGTTCCCGTCAAAATAAAATCTAAGAAAGGAGATCAAGTGTTTCAAACTTATGCCTTCTTGGATCCTGGAAGCACAGCAACCTTCATTACCAACAAATTAAAGAAGAAACTAAACGTGCAAGGCCCAAAGATTAACATCTTGCTGCGTACTATGGGCCAAGAAAGGTTGGTGAGCAGCTGTTTTGCCACTGGACTGGAAATTTCGGGGCTACAAAGTAACAGCTTTGTAGAACTTCCTGAAGTTTACACACAAGAAGCCATTCCAGTCTCTCGGAACAACATTCCTCTTCAGAGAGATGTTGAAAAATGGGACTATCTCAGCACCATCAGGATTCCGGAACTGAATGCTGATGTCGAGCTTTTGATTGGAATGAATGCATCAAACCTCATGGAGCCATGGGAGATAATCAACAGTCAAGGCAACGGACCATATGCTGTCAGAACCCCACTTGGATGGGTCATTAATGGTCCCCTGCGAAGCAGTGTAACTACCCAGAAAGGTTGTACAACTGTTAACGCAAACAGGATTTCTGTTGCCAAACTGGAGGAGCTGTTGATATCTCAATACAATCAAGACTTTGATGAAAAAACACTGGAAGAAAAACATGAAATGTCAATCGAGGACAAGAAATTTATGGAAATAATGGAAAATTCAGCTTGTACGCTGGATGGACATTATTGTTTGGACTTGCCCTTCAAAAAGGATGACATTATCATGCCCAACAACCGGTGTGTTATGGCACAACGCCTTCAGACACTCAAAAGAAAGTTTGAGAGGAACAAAGTCTACAAAAAGGAATATACAGCATTAATGATGGATCTTATCAACAAAGGCTATGCAGAAAAAGTACCTCTTGACCAGATGGAACCCAAAGAAGGAAAAGTCTGGTATCTCCCACACCACGGTGTCTATCACCCAAGGAAAAGGACTTTGAGAGTGGTTTTTGACTGTGGAGCAAGCTACAAAGGCTCTTCTTTGAATGGCCAGCTTCTACAGGGGCCGGACCTTACCAACTCTCTCTTCGGTGTTCTAACCAGATTCAGGCAAGAAAATATTGCTCTGATGACAGATGTCCAGGCCATGTTCCATCAAGTAAAAGTGTCAGAAAAGCATCTGGACTTTTTGCGCTTTCTGTGGTGGCCATTAGGAGACACGTCTGTCAGCCCAATGGAATACCGGATGACAGTTCACCTCTTCGGAGCTGTATCATCGCCAAGCTGTGCCAATTATGCTCTGAGGCAAACTGCTACAGACAACATTGAATGTTATCATAAAGAAGTGACTGACACTGTCTATAATAACTTTTATGTGGATGATTGTCTAAAATCTGTTGCCATGGAAGAAACTGCAGTAAAGCTGGCAGAAGATCTTACTGAATTGTGTTCTAAAGGAGGATTTGAGCTTTCAAAGTGGACAAGCACAAGTCGTGCTGTGCTATCGTCCATTCCTGAACAGAAACGTTCCAATTCAACAAGACAACTACATCTGGAACGGGATAGTCTGCCTGTAGAAAAGGCTCTTGGCCTAAGCTGGTGTGCAGAGAGTGACACTTTTATCTTTCAACTAGTGATGGAAGAAAGACCTCACACCAGACGTGGCATTCTCTCAATGGTCAGCTCCATCTATGATCCACTGGGTTTCCTGGCACCATTCACTTTGTTACCAAAGTTATTGCTGCAGGAGATGTGCAGGAGAAAAATGTCTTGGGATGAGCCTGTCTCCCAGACGATGTCACAGCAATGGACTTTATGGCTTCAAGATCTGCAAAAAATAACAGAGTTTAACGTGAGTCGCTGTATTAAACCAAAACACTTTGAAGAACCACTACAAGCTCAACTGCATCATTTTGCGGATGCCAGTGAACATGGTTATGGTACAGTGTCTTACCTACGACTGCAGGATGAGAAAGGAAATGTGCATCTGGCCTTCATGCTGGGCAAGGCTAGAGTTGCTCCATTAAAACAAACAACAATTCCCCGCCTTGAACTTACCGCTGCCGTGCTTGCTGTGAAAGTTGACAGAATGTTAAGAAAGGAACTGTCACTTGACTTAACATACTCATACTTCTGGACGGACAGTCAGACGCTGCTGAAATACATACACAATGAGAACAAACGATTTTACACCTTCGTTGCAAATAGGGTGGCTGCAATAAGGGAAGCTACAGATGTATGGCAGTGGAGATACGTTGCTTCTAAGCTTAATCCAGCCGATGAAGCATCCAGAGGACTTACCGCACATAACTTCATGGCCTGTCAAAGGTGGATCGCAGGTCCAGCCTTTCTTCAGAAGCCAGAAAAGGACTGGCCAGAGGTTTTTAACCCAAAGCCTGTTTCTTTAGAGGATCCAGAAGTCAAAGGTGAAGTCATAGTGAATGTTTTCAGCTTACAGGCCGATGATCCTACTTCAAGGTTCATTCATTATTTTTCAAGTTGGAGAAAGCTGAAAACTTCAGTCGCTTGGTTTCTCAAGCTAAAGGCCATCTTGCTGGATCTTAGTCAAAAAAGGAAAGAATTTGAGGCTTCACTCCCTGCTGCCGATGTATCGACTTTCACTAAGAAAGCACAAGAAAACACGAAAAGAGCCAGAGAAGCTGTTTGCACACAAACATTGTCAGTGAACGATCTCTTCAAAGCTGAAAGTGCAATTATCTGGTACTGTCAATCAAAAAGATTCAAAGAAGAAATCAGCACCTTGGAGAGTGGCGCTTCTGTTGTGAAGACCAGGAGCAACATCTACAAACTAGATCCAATACTCAAGAATGGTTTACTGAGAGTCGGTGGAAGACTTCGCCGCTCAGCTATACCTCAGGAGCAGAAACATCCCGCTATTCTCACCAAAGACCAACATGTTTCCAAGCTTATTTTGCAGCATATACACCAGCAGCTTGGGCATGCAGGAAGAAACCACATGCTATCAGCTCTTAGAAAAAGGTACTGGATTACTAGTGCCAACTCAGCTTGCAGGAAGATCATCTCTGAATGTGTTATTTGTAAACGACAAAGAGCACAGCCATCTTGGCAGAAAATGTCTGATATGCCAGAAGAACGCATCAGTCCAGATTTGCCACCATTCACTAATGTAGGTGTGGATTATTTTGGGCCCATAGAGGTGAAAAGAGGACGTGCCATAGTCAAAAGATATGGAGTAATCTTTACCTGCATGGCAAGCCGGGCTATACATCTGGAGGTGGCACACTCACTAACGACCGATTCTTGCATCAATGCCATAAGACGTTTTATATGTCGAAGAGGTCCAGTTAGTCAAATGAGATCAGACAATGGCACAAATTTTATTGGTGCAGAACGTGAACTGAGAGAGGCGTTGGCATCAGTGGAACAGAACAAGATTCATCCATTTCTGCTTACGAAAGAGATTGACTGGACATTTAATCCCCCTGCTGCATCCCATCATGGAGGAGTTTGGGAGCGTCTTATTAGAATGGTTCGAAAGGTATTATTTTCTGTCCTTCAACAGCAGTCACTGGATGATGAAAATCTACAAACCTTCTTGTGTGAAGTGGAAGCCATTCTAAATGATCGCCCCATAACTAAAGTCTCTGATGAGGCAAATGATCTGGAAGCTCTTACGCCAAATCACATTCTGCTGCTCAAAGGGAGCCCTATTCTAGCTCCTGGTGTATTTGAAGAGAGAGACTGCTACATCAGAAAACGCTGGAAGCAGGTTCAGTATCTGGCAGACTTGTTTTGGAAAAGGTGGACAAGAGAGTACTTACCTTTGCTACAAGAAAGACAAAAATGGTCTAAGCCTCAAAGGAACTTCACAGTGGGAGACGTCATCGTGGTGATGGATCATACTGCGCCTCGTGGATCTTGGATTCTTGGAAGAATAATCAACACTTATCCTGACAAAAATGGACTTGTTAGAGCAGTTCAGCTGAAAACGAAGACCGGGCAGCTGGAGAGGCCCATCTCGAAGATCTGCCTTCTTCAAGCAGCTGTATAAGATGGAGAGAAGATACTACATGGGACATTTTTTGGCTCCTTATTTTGTTATTATTTAATTGTGCTGTTTACACAATTGGGGCCGGTGTGTAGGAGCCATTATTGTTTTGGTTTAGATTAGATTATGATCTAAGTTTATTTTGATAATGTTTTATGTACATTTCAGTTTATTGCACTATGGTTTGTATTTCCTTTGACCACTGGTGGCACTGCGGAGCCTATAAAGGTGTTGAGGTGGCAGTGCATTGGCGTTTTGTGGGTGACGGGAGGTCACACGGTTTTTACCGCTTCGTTTGGTTTCATATGCCACGTCTAATTTGCCGTTATAACTTTCATCATTTACATAAACCTGGACAAGAAATAGCCATTCTGGACCCAGCTTGTGATTGTCAACATATTCAATAAATGGGACAATAAACCCAAACCCGCTTTCTGCCTGGACAATATTGTTGAAGCGAGTCATTGCCTCCACCCGCACCCGAGGGTGACTAAAAGTGGGACTTGATAGTCACTACAGCCACTATAAAGTACTTTACCTCCCGGAGCAGGAGCGATGCACTCGTGGCAGCTAGCATCTCCAGCTGTTACAGATGTGCCACAAGAGCTGACTTATCATGAGTGAAATCAAATGAAGTGGTGAATCTCCTTTCCTTTCAGACATTAATTAAACATCATTTATTCCATAAGTACATCGTCACCATCTCATTCTCTACTAAGAAACCTTTATATCCACGGCCTGGCCAAAAAAGAGTTGCCACCAAAAAAAGCTCACACACACACACACTCACTCATTCAGCACACATTCACTGTGGCATTGACTTGATACGTTTCAGCAGCGTCACCAGATTTGCCTCTATCCACTTTTGCATTAATGTTTCACCAAGATCTTGCATTGATGATGGTAGAGTCTGACCGCTGCACAAAGCCTTCTCCAGCACACCCCAAAGATTCTCAGTGGGGTTAAGGTCTGGACTCTGTGGTGTCTCATGCTCCCTGAACCACTCTTTCCCTATCTGAGCCTGAAGAACCTGGCATTGTCATCTTGGACTCGTGCCATCAGGGAAGATGGAATAACCTGTTCATTCAGTATATTCAGGTAGTCAGCTGACCTCATTCTTGGAGCACATCCTGTTGCTGAATCTAGACCTGACCAACTGCAGCAAGCCCACACCATAGCCCTGCCACCACAGGCGTGTGCAGTAGGCAGTAGGCATGATGGGTGCATCATTTCATCTGCCTCTCTTCTTACCCTGATGCACCATCACTCTGGAACAGAGTCCATCTGGATTCATCAGACCAGTTTTAATAATGGACAGTTCTTAACCCAGTTTTAGTCGTCTCTGCATCTCCGTGGATGTTTTATCTGCTTGATGCCAATGATCTGACCCTCCTCACGCAGACTAACATCTCTTCCACGACCACCAGACATGTCTTTCCACATGGTTGTTTAAGAAATGAGAAGCAGCTCATTGCACCAGTTTGGGTTAAATAGCTTGTTGCAGCTGAAAGATAATCACCCATGCAGTAATCATCCAAAAGGAGTAGGGATGGGTACCGAATTCGGTACTTTTTAAGGTACCGACCAAATTCCACAGTACCGACCGAGCACCGATTCACGTCATTTCAAACGGTGCCTCGTTTCGGTACCCGTCCTTCACAACGAGAACTTGCCAAGACAGCTGCGCATGCGCAAGAGCGTTTTGTCGTCGGTCGCTGCGATCCAGTTGTAAACAGAGCAGCATGGTAGAAAGAACGCACGCTAAAGCTTGGGTCCACTTCACCAAATGTGATGGGTAACTGGGTGATGATGAAACCAGTGACAACGATCTAAGTGAGACATCCTCATCTTAATCTGCTCCGGTAGGTAAATAAAATTAGCTTGATATGTTAGCTTCCGTTTCACTAATGGTGCGTTCGCTTTCTCCTCGGAACTCCGAATTTCCGACTAGAAGAACATGAACGCGCTCTAAAGTTTGGCTTCACTTTACTAAATGCGACGGGTGATTGGGTGAAGATGAAACCAGCGACAACAATCTAAGTGTGAGGCATCATCGTTTTAATCTGCTCCAGCAGCTAAATAAACTGTTAAAGATAACGTTAGCTTGATATGTTAGCTTCCATTGCCACCGTTGTTATCAGCTAATGATGCTTTCGCTTTCTCCTCGGAAATTCTAACTTCCCAGTGTAAAAATCAATTGAAAAAGGACGGCAAAAGGAATGAAGATACACAGTAAATTTAGTTCACAGTAAAGATGTTTGCTTCAGTTTAATTATCAGCTTATAAAACTACAAGGACGATGTTAAAATACAAACAGTTGTATGTTATTTATCGTGATATTTGTCAAATATTGTTATATATTGAGAAAAATATATATTTAATTATAAAAGAGAATTAAAATATTAAACACTCAAAATTATCGAAAATTGGTACCGTTAAGTACCGGTATCGATTCCTAGGTACCGGGAATTAGTACCGGATCGATTCAAATGTCAAAGGTATCCATCCCTAAATAGGAGGCTCCTATCTGTTTGCTTAGTTAAATCCAGGTGGTGACGGGTATTTTGGGGGGGTGGGGGGACACGAGTGTGGCTCCGCCCACGTTTGTATTTTCATCTTTTAAACCCTGTTTTCCTCCACACTCACTGTAACCTGAGTGATGTATTTAGAACAATATGGCTGCTCTTGCTGGAGGCTATACTGCTGCAGAAACAAATTGCCACTCAGACAGATTTAGTCACACATCATTTTATGGAAATGAGATGTCATTTTTGCAGTTGGCCCAGGTTGTTTCTGAGATGTACCTCTGTCTCGTCAAACTGCAACTTTGCACTTTTTTATTAAAAAGCCGCACTTTGCCTTGCTGCCTTCTCTCTCCCTCCTCGGTTGAAACCGTTGCTCTGATGCAAATATTTACAGGCGTCCCTGCAGAGCTGCCTATAACAATGACCACGTAGCGAAACGAGCGTCGGTGCTCTCTGCAGTGAACCGCGTGGGCTCAGGGGCACGGTGGCATGCCAGCTGAGCAAATGAAGAGTGTGTTCAGCCTGATAACGCCAATCAGAAACCCTAGTGGATGTGTTGGAAAATAAACAAGAAGGCAGAGTAAATGAGAAACAGCAAGAAAACATTTCTGGTGACAAATCCGGGGGAGGGTTTTCTCCACCAGAACCTGTGCCTTTGTGCCATTTTGCTACACATTCTCATTTAGATCGGTTAATCAGCACGAGCCTACGAGGGGGGAGATTGACGAGTGTGTTGCCATGAGACGACTTGGCGGCTAATTAAAAGGAGCTCTGGGAGGGCAGGGGAAGAGTGTGTGATGGAGAGAGCGCTCATTCATATGAATAACCTTTCTGTGTGCGTTGTGTGTACTTGTGCATTTGTTTAGTCGTGTGTAGAGCGGGGGGTTAACCGTTGCACGGGAAGGGAGGTGCTGATGAAGCTCTTTGTACAATGTGGGGGTATCCATGTGAGAGAAGTGCAGAAAGTGGGGAGAGGAAATCTGTTATTTCATGTAATTACCACATAATTGTGTCTGTGACTGTCGCCGATTGTTTTGTTTATGGGGGGGGGGGAGGGGGGGCCTCATATTTGTTACACTCTGGCGGTCGCCGTTGTGCCCTGCTGTCTGATGATTTTAATGTGGTGTTTTAATTTTGGTTCATTCAGAAGCCGCTGGGGAAAGTTAATGTGGAAAATGTAACTCAAGACGTTTTTCACTGAGGGCTGCTCTCAGTAAAACAATAAGATGTTTTGGCTTCATCCCTTCAACCAGCCACCCTTTTTAATCTGGTCTCGCTAAACCAAATGTTGTCCACTGAGATGATGCTTCACCTTCTTTTGTTGGAATTTGACCAGAGGTCATTCACATATCTGAACCAGTGGTTTCGTTTGGCCTTTTCATTTATTCCATATAGATTCACTACATTTATCAAATGTAAGTCACTTTGGACCAGGGGTGTCAAACTCAAATTCACACGGGTCCGAAATGAAACTCTGGGACGAGTTGCGGGCCAAACTTCATATTTTTTGAAAAAGTGACGGCAAATTTGCACATTTTCTTTATCAACATATATGCAACATTTAAAACATTTAAATTTGGAAACAAACTTATTTCTGCATTAACACTGAATGTGGAATAACCAAATTACACACGAGCAAGTCAGTTTTAAATAAAAGGCATCAGTGGTATTCATTACTTGTGGTATAATCAGCATTTTTAAAATCTTTTAAATCTTTAAATCTTTTCTCACGGGCCAACAACAAAATAAAAATATCATTTTATCTTAAATGAAAATGCAACATCTCACCTGTTAACTTTCATGTTTTGGAGCAGAAAAAGAGCATAAAACCAACATATTTAAAGCTCAGTTTGCTCCACTGGTTAACTGTGATGCTCACCTGTTCCAGCCAGATACCTGCATCATGGGGTTGATCTGAGCTGAGGAGGAGACTCCTGTTGTTTTGTTCATCTTCATCATAATAATGACAACATTAGATGACAACAGGTGCTCACATAGGTTTGTGCTGCTGAACATGTCTGAGCAGCTTGACCACGTTGTCGTGTGTCCGGGAGGAAACACGACAGCAGCCACAGAGCCGTGCTGGTTTGAGCGTGTCGCTGCTCGCTGGAGTTATATCTGCTCTGTCTGGACGTTAGTTGGAAAACTTTCTCTTTCAGTCGTGAACACATTACAGCGCGGCTAGAATCTCCGTTTCTGGGCTTCAACGTCAGAAAACAGCTGAGTGAACTCGGCGCTGAGTGAGAGGAGTGTTTAGTTTGTCCGAGACAGCGGAGCTGCAGACACCGGCAGCAGGCGCTGGAAAAAACACAAAGGAGGGGGCGTGTCAGCTCCGCGCTGACGCCGCAAAGCATCATGGGAATTGAAGTCTTTGCGGTAAAATCGGCCAGCGAGCCAGTTTTAATATATTTTTGATATTTATCTCGCGGGCCGCATCTGGCCCGCGGGCCTTGAGTCTGACATATGTGCTTTGGACAAAAGCGTCTGCTAAATACATAAACATAAACACAAACATTGGATGAAACAGGGAATCCCATAGAAAATCTGTAAATGTCTTCGATTTACTTTTGAATCTGATGGAGAGACAAAAGTTCAAACTGGTGCAGATCTGGTCTGTGTTCATTTTGAAAATGTTTCATGATGGTTTCTACTGCATCTGATGAGAGCAAGCAGGTGAAAGGTGGCATGACACCAGGGGCGGATTTAGCAATTTGGGGGCCCAGGGCAAGCAAAGACATGAGGCCCTCCACAGCTGTTGTTCTGATTTTTTTTTAATTCTTACTACAAAAAGGTAAAACTTCTTCACTGGTCCAGTCTTGGATGGTACTGATGTCAAGAATCTCTGGAACTGCATCTGAATGGAAAAAAGAATGTGTTTAACAAATGTAATTAGCATAAAATCATTTGATTTGTACAAAAATAATGACATTCATGTTTGTATTGATTTATTGCCCACCCACCTATTCTCTTCGTTTTCATTTTTTCTGGTGAAACACCACTATCTTGTGCCTT